TTTTCCGCGATAACTGTCGTAATGTGAGCCATTATCGTGCGTCGGGAGTGGACTATAAATTCTGCAACAATTATAATTAAATTTGCCTGTAATGTATTGAAGGGTGCCGGCCGGCAAAGAGGGAGGAAGGAGGGGGGGGGGATATCAATTTCGCACAGCTGTTGATTCGCGAGCTGCTCTCTCTCTCTCTCTCTCTCTCTCTCTTTGCTTGGAAGCGCGAGGAATTACGCCACGGCTGCGCCGCAATGCGTTTTGATATTCGATACGCAGCGGGATTGCATATTTCGCTGGACGCGGAATAAATCGACGCGAGAACCAGGCGAAGGAGAGGACGAAGAGGAAGAGGAGGAGGATGCACAAGGCGTGGTTGCGCGGCGGCGGCGACGGCTAGGTAACCAACAACCGCATTCCGAGGCATCGTACGACGACGTACGCGCGTACGTTCCCTATTTTAAGAGAGCCGAAGCTGCCCCTGCGCCTCGTCACTTTTCCACGGTCGCGCTTTTCCCAGCCGGGGATTCGCGGAAATGATGCAGCGGGAAACAGCGACTTTCCTCCCGCTTGACGTAACAACCGCCGTATGTCTTTCGCCTTTCCTTTGTTTTTCCGCGTAACAAGTCGAAAATGCCGCGAGAGCGAGAAAGGAAAGCAGGGAGAGAGAGAGAGAGAGAGAGAGAGAGAGAGAGAGAGAGAGAGAGAGAGAGAGAGAGAGAGAGGGAGGGAGGAATAGAGGCGTTATTCTTACACCGCAAAGCGGAGGATCCCTCGTCTCGGTCCGAACGGCGCGGCGAAGCGCGACGAGCGACCGTGATAAAGTAGAAACCTGGATTGTTTTTTTTCCCCTTTTTATTAATATACTGCGCGGAGACACATATCGCGCCGCGGGCGCGCGCGCGCGCGCATGCGCGCACGCGCATGACGCGTAATAAAAAGGAAGAAATCGCAGCGAGCGGCGAATTAATCGCACGAAAAAAAAGCGCAACGGGGAAAAAGCGCGAAAGACACGCGTAATGTTTGAGATCAATTACAACTAAATTAACAACATACGTACACGCACACACACACACACACGGGCGCGCGCGCGGGCGCGTGCTGAATACCCGACGGGTAAGCAGAAGGGCATTATCGCGCAAATAATATCGCGTCGTAATTTGGAAACGCAAAATATACGTCGGTTGTATCCAGTCGCGATTTCATACGCCATAAGCGATTCGATTGCTTTCGGCGGGATTCCGCTGAAATGTAATATCGCGTTCCACCGCCGAGATTCGCGTTAACACTTTATAATCCATATGAATTTTATTATATACGCCTGCGTGTTTATCAAGTAACGATTAAAATGATAAAATGATAAAATATACGCGCGCATCCTCCATGTGACTTTTGTATGTTTCATTAGACCGCGTTCAATATCGGTGCGCAGAAATAATATCACGCAATATTACGATATTACGGTGATACGTTATTTCGTTTTACGATCAAGCCGGCTCGAGGAAACGCGATAACGCTAACAGCGATAACGTGTGTATCCCGCCGCATATTTTTCTTCTCTCTCTCTCTCTCTCTCTCTCTCTCTCTCTCTCTCTCTCTCTCTCTCTCTCCCTCTCCTTTTTTTGTTTCGTTTCTTTCTATCTTTGCCGATGATATACGAGTTTGACTCTCATCTCGCGCGCTCCCATTAAAATACGCGCCCCTCGTACGAGCTAAACAAAATTTAGAAGCGAACGGCTATATTTAACGGGCGCAACGCGCTAATATGAGCCAATGTCAACATATAACGTAAGTTTCAGCCCGAGGCTGAGCAATTTTAATAACCGATAAAGCGACTTTTAATAATAGAATCGGGCCGGCACCGATGTCTGGTCAGTGACGGGCTTTACTACTGCGCGCACCCGAATTTGTCCTTGTGTGTTTATCATCCTCCGCCGTCACACGCTAATCATTTATATCTGCCTTGCGCCTTCGAGACTTCGAGAGAGAACTGCTTTGCGAGAGAAAGGAGAAACCAACTGGCAAACGTTGAATACGCAATTTCCGCTTCGAAAGATAATAGTTTCGCGTCGCAATAAATCTTTTTACTCTTTACCCTTTTTACTCTTCAGTGAAATGGGAGAAAAAAAGCATTCCTTACTTCCTAATAGCCGGAGAGTTGTTCTTGTTTGCAACAGTTTTCTCGCTTCACGAAAACTCCGCAAACTTCCCGGCGGGGGGAAAAATTTACGCGGAATTATGCCTCAACTTTCGCGCTCCTCTCTCTCTCTCTCTCTCTCTCTCTCTCGCCCCTTCACCTCCTGCCCCGCCGGCCGCGCGCCACAGATGCGAATTTTCAGCGACGCTCGGGCACACGAGGAATTTCACCGGAGCAACTAAAGCACAAAGGCTGAAAAACGAATGACACCGTTGCCGAATGGATCGCCGAATGGATGTCACCCGGCGGGTGTTTTCACCTTCGCTCGAAACGACCAATTATCTCGCTGCATCGCTGAGCGCCGCTTTGAAGGGAAAGAAAGGGAAGAGGAAGAACAAACAAGTAGCTCACGTCGCAGACGCGACTCAACGCGCGCGTTCACTTCTCTGAGCGGCGGGGGAAAAAATCAACACGTCCGTCTTATGTGGAATTTATTAGCCGCAGCATTGCGCGCGGTGGTCAGCGAGGGAAGAACCCGCCCTGTTCACGGAGGTTCATCAACTCGCGCGCACGGAGGTCTCCGTAGATCAATCAACTTCCACCATCTTCCATCCGTCTTGCTCTGGGGCCCTTATTTGCGCGGGCTCTCGATCATGTCGATCGCCCCCACCACGCCCCTCACCCCTCACCCGTCCATAAATGAGGCCGCACAATGTACATAATAATAAACCACGCGGGGGAGGAACATATACAACCGCGGGGGAAGAAAAGATCGAGGATAACAGGAGTAGGAGGGAGGAGAGGGGGTTGAAACTTTAATCGAGCCCCACGAGCCGAGAGTCGCGCGCGCGGATTTTATTTCTGTTTGAACTCGTAAAATCAAGAGCACTCCGTTACTCTCCGCAATCGGCCGCAATAAAATCCACGCGAGAAATATCACCGAAGCCCCCGCGCTCACAAAGTCTCTAATGCGCTGCCGACCGCGATCCATATTTTATTTAAACCAACAGCGCCGCGTGCGCGCGCGTGTATGCGGCTTTTCTTCATTCGACGTATGTATCACCGCGACGCGTAAATGTAAATCTCTCACTTTCCATCGGGAAAACGTTTAACTAAAAGGTACCGGATACCAGACGCGCGAGCGCGAATATTTTTGCGTAAACCGGAAGGACAATCGGTCCAGAAGCGCCAGCCACGTGGCTGCTTGTACAGCGAGAATTTACGTCAGGCTTTGTGTGTGTGTGTGTGTGTGTGTGTTTACCATCGCGCCGCTTCAAAGGGAATCGATGTCCCATTTCCAACAATCTATCCCTGATATTTCGATGCGCTGGCAATCGATGCATCATTCCCGCTGAACTTATCCCTAATTTTCCGATGGTAATCGGCAACCTCTGTCTATCTTTGCTCCCTCTCTCTCTCTCTCTCTCTCTCTCTCTCTCTTTCTCTCTGTTCTTTTTATATCGCTGCATAATTAATTTCCACATTGCGCTCTTTGATCTCCGACGTTCAACGCGGCAAATTACGCCGTCAATGGTCGGTTTATTGACTACGAACTTCAATAGGGAATATTTCAATACGGAACTCCGCAATACGGCTTTAGCGTTATTGCGGAGTTCGTTTATTCCCCATCTCTGGTACCGTGATCAATGAGTTGCGCGCGGTGCGATTGTGTCACTTAAATGTAAATAAATATTAGCGCACGTCGCGCCGCTGCTCCACCTACAAGTATTCCGGAGCGAAACTGCGCTCGAATATATCAGCGTGTCTAATAATTCAATTACTCCTGTCTCGGATTCCGCCAGTCGCGGAAATTCGCCGGTCACTCGGACGAGAGAGACCGTGAGCAATCGCGGCGATGTAGATCGATATTGATCGATCCATCGTCTCAACATCGCTTCCATTTTCTCGACGCGGATCTCTTATTCTCCTCCTCTCGGTTGGAGCGCCGCGGAAAACGAAGCGAAAATTCATTCGTCTCCGTCCCGATAGTGCACGAAAGCGCCGCGCCACGCGCACTCGCCTGTCCGCCTGTTTCCATCGAGATAAAATCGACCACGAATCATCCGGAGGACTTGTTCCTCCGGGAGGAAAGGACGCGAGGGACAAGACACCGCGTGTGTACGCGCGAGAGCGAGGAAGCTCCGGCGTCGAGCTCGCTCGCTCGTTGAATAACTTTCCCCGAACTAATCAATCTTCGAGATCGGATCGCGCGTTTGCTATCTGCGCGCGCGGTCGGCGATCGATACGCGAATCGACGCTTAATCACAATGACATGGAACGCGGAGGCTCTCGCATTAGCCCCCGCGCTAGCTCTAGTCGTACTCGTCGTCGATCGACCGCCGTTGGACGACAATGTAACTGGAAACAGCGGCATATTGCTGCTTAATAGATAGGATTATCGCAGCCGCTTAATCATCCCGCGGCTCTACAAGCTGGACGCGCGGCCTGTCCGACGCAACGGGCTATTGGCATTTCGATCGAGCATCCCCGCGGAAGCACCTCATTGACGATCCCGCCCACGTAATATCGGTATCAAGGGTTTGCGAATAAGGAGCGTCGGAAAACAGGTTTTTCCCCCTTTTCGCTCACTTCCTTTTTCCTCGCGTAAGAGTCGCCGCGCGAATCCCATTTCCCGACGACCGGCGGTCGCGAGTGCGTCATCGCGATTGAACGACAAGACCCAGTCTTGTCGGCTCGTCGTCTCGTGCCTTCGTGGACGCGAGATTGGACGCTTCTCCGTTTCGTCGCGCGCTACTTCGCTACGAAACCTGCGCCCTGCGTTGGACTTTTTCGGGCTGGGTGAAGATTCGCGCTGCCCACGATATATATCGCGCGCCGCACCCGGTGTATAAAATAACTCGCAATGACTCACCAGATATTGAGAAACTTCTCCCGAATCTTCCGCTTCATGCTGTCGCTCTTCCGGCGGTACTGCAATCTGCGGCAGGAATCCGTGTAGATGGGCTCCAGAAGCTGCTTGTAGAAACCTGCGGGAGACAGCGATTTCGAGATTACCGAGAACTTGCAGGCTCCACGGCGAGGGATAGATAGATAGATATAGATAAAGTGAGAGAGAGAGGGAGAGAGAGAGAGAGAGAGAGGGAGAGAGAGAGGGAGAGAGAGAGGGAGAGAGAGAGAGAGACGCGAAGCAACGAAGCACCGAGCGTGAAAGAACGCGTCGAAGGTAAAACGTGGAGCGGCGAAGCAATTTTTCGCCAAGTTTGCCGGCCATTTTGCGCCATAACTGCATTTCTGCCGAGAGGGTTTCATATGCCCGTAGTGTGTGTCGCTTCGTCGTCGCTCCGCGCCTCGCAACGTCCCAGTTTCGCAAGCTCCCGGCCTCGTCGACCGACCGAGAAAAACGGAATTTATACTTCCGTCCGTCGCGAGTGACGCGGAGTGACGCGAGTGACAAGATTCGCGAGCAAATTAAATCGCAGCGATACACAAATAGACGTCGCGCGGATTAATTTTAGCCGCGCGAGTCCAGTGCGCGCGCGGGGACAGTTAAATGGAATTGGTTATACCCTCTGTATATACTACCCGACTTCGACTAGAAGTCGAAGATAGGAATAGCTGAAGCGCGCGCGCGCGGTTCCTTGCATGGACAAATATTTATTCAGCGGCCGGACATGCCGCTAGTTTATTCGCTCATATATCCGTCACTCGCGTCGGATCGTAAAGTTTTTCGCGAAACTTCCATATTTCATCGGCACGTCCGACCTATCCCATCGCGAATCTCCACGCAAGTTTCGCTCCTTATTCGACGTCGCGGAAACGGCCAGCGAGATCTCAAAGGGCGAATTCTTATCGCGACGCGGACGTTTTGACGTTGGTCAGGAATTAATCCACCGCGCGCGAGCGCTCTAACGAATCGCGCAGATATTTCACCGAAACACACACACACACACACACACACACACCGACGAAAAGCTGACTTATTGTTTCTCTCTCATCTGCCCGTAATATCTCGTGAATTATTCCTCCCGCCTTTTGTCCCACTTTTGCTTCCTCCTCCAACTCGGCTCGACTTCTCGCGCGATTTCCTTTTTTTTACAACGTGACGATTTAATGCAAGCCGTCCTGCGAGTCGTTTCCTCGAATTTCTCGGCGCATGATACGGAAAGAGGCAGCGATCCCAATTAAAAATAAGAGTGATTGCCTAATCATTTAATCACACTCAATCACACTTAATTCCAGCGAGCCGAGGATTAATCGCGACGAAGCGTTTGTATAGCGAATTGAATCGTGATAACTTTTCCAATCCTCTGATAAGGTTGGTATAGCGGCGTCGCGCTCAATTTTCGAGCGCTTCTGGATTTTCGGATGTTGCCGAGAGCGAAGGATTTGCGAGCGATTTAGACTGCATGCGAGATAGATGAAGATACCAGCGTATTTCGAATTTCGTGCTCGCGTTAAAATATGAAAACGCGGTAAATTCTTGTCGGGAATCAAACGCGATGCGCCTCGTAGGAAAATAGCGCGTGTCTCTCGCCGCGTTCTCCCTTTTCTTTCCCTCCTTCCCACCTCTCCTCTTTTTCTCGTTCTTTTTCGCGCATGTTTCTTTCTCAAACATATATAATCGATGAGGAAATATTTATCGAATCAATTATCAGCAAACGAACGAGTTTAATATTTTTTTTCTGTGCTCTCTCAAAGTGAATCGGTGAAACTCACTGTCAATCGGCACACTGATACACCGATCGTCGGTGCATAATCGCTTGATTGACAGTGAGTTTCAGCGATTCGCTTTGAGAGAGAACTGAAAAAAACAGACGGCTCCGCTTTACCGAAAATCCGCATTACCGTCAATCGGAAAATTATACTTCTAATCTTTCTGACAGATACGAGGAATTTCAGGAGGAACTTCAGGAGGAATTTGAGGAATACGGATTTTAATGCGCGTCCGCTGCATGCTGACGGCATCTGACTGCAGAACGGACTAAGAACGGAGACGGCGAGGAAAAAGCGGATCGAAAAGCGACCGGAGGAGGAGCTCTCCCGAGGTGACCCGCCGCTCGTCCATATTTATCTTCAATTTCATTTCGCTTTGATCGCGCGGACGCAATTTCATCAAAAAAGTCTTTGTCTCCTATATCCGATAGGGACAATCGCGCGCAATTTCCCATTCCCGAACAGCGGGGGGAGGCCGACGGCGCGGCGACCGATCTCGAGCGCCGCCGCCGATGCTGATTCTCGCCCGCGTGGTCCGTGCCAATTTCGCGCGCGCGCGCGCGGGAAGAGTACCCATCGCGACGATAAATTAATTTTAATAGTCGCTCGCACACGCGTACAAGCCGCGATAATAGACCGCGGAAAGCCCATTATCCATATGTATATAATCATCGGCGGATAATAACGGCGGTGCCATCCGCGCCGCCGCGCCGCGCCGCACCGCGCCGTCGCCGCCGGAACGTTTCATTCCGCTAATGCTCGCCATTTATGTCAAAAGTAAAATCGATACCGCCTGCCCGGCTCCTCCCTACCCCCGCCCTACTCCGCGCCCCGAATTACCCCGGTCGCTGTGGGATCCAATTACGAGATCGAATTCACCGCGGCACGAAGCCTATCCATAAATTTCGCACGCGCGCGCGCGGTTACTTAGCCGTGGCTGGAAATCCGTCGTGCGGCCAAACGCGACATCCCCGTCGATATTTCCACGCGTTTCAGCGATCCGCCGTCAAGGTCAAGGAGTGCACAGCGCCCGCGGTTTTACTCACTGAGCCAGCTCAGCTGGTCGTTGTTCTCGAATTTGTTCTTGAAACTGTCCACTTGGCGTTTCAGCTCTCGCAGGGCGAGCGACGGCGCGGCGCAGGAGGCCTCCTCGTACTCCCGCAGCTGCCGCTCCAGAGCCGCCACGCGCCTCTCTAGGGTCCAGAGCACCTCCGCCTCGATCACCCTCGAGGAAGCGGGGTGTGCGCCGACGATCTGCAAGAGGAAAATGCGCGCCCAGCTGGCGTGAGATCGCAACGCTTGCGTCGCAGCACTCCGCGAGCACTCTCGCGCGAATTCTTCGCCCGAGGAGGGCGAGACGCGGCGTTGCGCAATCCGCGATTCGGAAGCGCCCGCCGCGCGCGTTTCATCAGTCTAACGAGCGCAGGCCGACGCTCTCGTAAATATGTAAAATACGCTACGTACGCAGATGGCTTGATTATTTTTTATATGAGGAAGGTCGAAAGTCGAACTTTCGACTTTCCCCAAAGTCACGGCGAACTTATAATGAGAGCCTGCCTTATCGCCAATATTGACGCGCATTGCCCGCGAACAGGCTGGAGAGGGCAAGAGGAGGGTGGGTCTAATTATGTTAATGCGACGGTTTTCTCGATCGCGCTGAATTCTTGCACGTGACCGCTGAAAGTCCCTCGACTTCTGCAACAGCCGAGCGTACGTCGCGAACGCGTACGTCAATCGAAGTTCGCGCCTCACGCGCCTCTTGAGTCTCCTCAAGAATCGAAAATCCTCGCCGCCGTAAACTTCTCTCTTTCTCGTGAGAGCTAATTTGCCGGAGACGGATATCTCACATCACGAGGAGGCGTTTTGCACCCTCCTCGCACGTGTGCAATCAATCGCGCAACGTCCAACGTGAGCGTCCAGCTGGCGCGCGAGCGACGTGTAAGAAATCCGTGCTTACCTGAAGAACGTAAGGCGTGTCGGGCGTGTTCGGCGGTAGATGAGACGAGATGTTGAACAGCTTATCTCCCTTGCGAAGCTTCACGATGTCCAGAGGGCCAGCCTCCGCCGCGTTTCTGAAGAGTTCTGCGAACAGAAGGCGATCGTAAGTTTTCCCTCGGTCTCTCTCTCTCTCTCTCTCTCTCTCTCTCTCTCTCTCTCTCTTCCCTTCTTACTCTCACTCTCGGTCCCATCCGTCCGCCTCGCGCTCGCTTTCGTTGCGCAAGGAGAGCTCTCGCTCTACGAGACCCTTGAAGTTTCCGACCTCCGTCCACTCGGACGAACCGCGACGGTCAAAGGACGACTCTTTCCCAGCGCAGCGCAATTTAGGTGGACAACGGCCGCGACGATGACGCCGTGTAGAGGGCATTTATGAGAGCGGTTGCCTGATCCCCGCTATTATTCGCACCGCTGTTTACCACCATTTAGCCGAAGGCTGATATTAACTTTATTAAACACGACTCTTCCTCTCGTCAAACTCCCTCCCCCCCTTGCCTCTCTCAGTTGACGGCGCCTCCCCGAGCTCCGCCTTGCGAGACTATTTCCCAATTATGTCGGCTCTGCCGTCGCGGGCGAGATAAACAGCGGTGTTAAGCGGTAACCGTGTGGAAAATAGGAAAAAGTAGGAAAAGAGCCACCCTGGTTATATCGAGCGTGCGGGAAGAAGCTCGAGCGGGACGGAGCGAGGAGGAAGAGCACTCGCTAAACGACGTCTCGTAAGTGCATGTTTTATTCATCATCGAGCGACAGTCGCCGGGCTTATCCACGGGGGAGGGAGGGGGGTGTAACCGGCACGTATCACCGCACCCGGGTGATTACGGCGCGGACGGACAAGACGCAACGCAACGGGACGATGACGATCGTAAATGCGCCCTCGTCTATCCGCGAGCCGTAACCGTGCCGCGCAATACCGGCGAGAAGTTCGGAAACACGAGAAGCGAAAAGCGTTCGCTCGAGCGAACGGTTTCGATGGCGCCAAGGGCTGCTCCAAACTTGACCACTGTCCGCCGACTCGTGTACGGTGTATCCGCGTTTCGAGTCCAATCTCGAAGTACGAGAAGTTACGACGATCGTCGAGCGCGAAGAACTGATCGACCGACGGTACTAGCCGGGAGGGGGGCGGGGGAACTATTATCGCACCCCGCCGGCCAACGAGACTCGCTCCCACGCGATGTATTATATTTCTTCTTCCCGGCGCTGGAGAAGCGCGCTGTTAATCCGCCGTTTCAATTTCCATCAGACACGCGCGACATGCGAAATACACGCGGATTACGCGCGGCATCAACTCAATCGCTGAGCGAAAAGCCGAGGGAGAGCAAGGCGGGAAGAAGGCGTGGATGGGGAAAATTTCCAGCTGGGATTGAAATCTTCGGTCATGAGAAACGCGCAGCCGGAGGCGACTAGCGGTTGCTAACTTTTGGTAATGATAAATTTATCGACGCTGAAACATTCGTCCGCCGGACTGTGTGAGTGTATTCAAAGCTGCCGAGTCGGAATTTTGACCCCGCTATCGACCTCGATATTCCGTCTCTCTGATGCTCTGATTTCATATTCTGAAGTTTATGTTAAATTAATTTTTGATTCTCCCGAGAACCTGCAAACAGCAAATAATACGTTCCCTGCCGTTTGGAGGCACTGAGTAGGCCCTACCCTTCTATTGTAAATCAAATCTGCCCAATTGATCCTTCAGAATTTACAACAGTCGGACAGCTAAATCGAAAATAGGATCACAATTCCTACCGGAGATTACACCTCTAACACCTTGAATTTACGTAGATTTCGAAAAACGGCGTTAAATTGAAGCTAAAGAAATTTGCTGTGCGCGACACGTCGTTGCAGCGGCCGGCACGTCGTTGGTGAAAAAGCAAACGCGCGAAATCCATCGGAAGGCCGACATCGTCACGTGTCCCTCACGTCCCCCCCCCTGCGCTCCATGGTTTCCGAAATATGCCGCACACGTGCCGTGCGTAGCGCCATAGGCTTGTATCATTGCGAAGAATACAATATCGGGAGCCGCGCAAAAATTCGCTGAATAAATAATACAATCCGCGCCGTTTCTGTCTGTCTTATTTTAGCGCGGCTACATGCGGTAGCTTGAAATATTGAAAAGCACAACGGGACTGCAAATTCAACCAGCGGCAAACATGCCAGACGACCGAGCTTCCATAACGGTTGATGAAAAATTCTCGGATTTTATGGCGGAATGCCGGTGAATACAACAGGCCTATCATTTAATCATACAGCCTGCAAACGGCAAACATCGCGAAACGCACCGAAGCGAAATCGTTTTCACTAGCGAGAGAAGGACTGAGAGAGAGAGAGAGAGAGAGAGAGAGAGAAATAGACTCGACGTGAAAATGATTTGCGAGCGTGTCGACCATTGGATAGAACTATTAATTTGAATAATGTTGCACCGGTGTCTGAACCGCCGCCGATAAAATTACATCGGAATATAAATATCGATATGACAAATTACCATAGCGAAGAGTATAACACAGATAGAAAGAGTGACAGAGAGTATAAATTAGCATAACTTATGAAAGTATAAACTGATTAGATTACCATAATTTGAATGGTATTATGCCGAGGCGTAACATTATTCAAATTTCCGCAATATGTCTTTTTCAAATTACCGCTCTCCTTCATCTTAATCTACTTGTTCTTTTCGCGTTGCGCGATATCTTCCGGAAAGAACGAGAAGAGAGAGAGAGAGAGAGAGAGAGAGAGAGAGAGAAAAGAGAAAGAAAGGAGGTGCTAATGAGAGGTGTTTAGTTGACGGGTCGATTAAAAGCTCTGTCGCGATGCGTTCGTGTGAATCAAAGAGAGGGAAAAACTCAGTTAATTAAGCGTCACGATCAACGCGACTATCCGCGATTGATGATGGATGCATCGACGTTGGTGCTGGCGGAAGAACAAAGAAAAAAAAGAAAAAACGACAAAGAGGGAAACACGATCGGGGCTATACTCGGCGCTGATAACGTCGATGCAAAATGCACGTCGCGTTCTCGCGAGCGCGAGCGTTTCTCCGCGGTGAAAAATGGCGCGGCACGTTGAAAGTTGGCGCGATCATTTATAAAAGTGGCCGAGTCTCCCTTTTTCAGGTCGCCCCTGACTGACGCGCGCCTCGGGGGTGAAATAAAAATATTCCGAGCGTCCTCCCGCGCTTTACGCTTCGCCCCTTGGGAGGGAGGGGAGAAAGATACGAAAAAGAGGAGGGAGAGAGAGAGAGAGGGAGAGAGAGAGAGAGAGAGAGAGAGAGAGAGAGAGAGAGAGAGAGAGAGAGAGAAAGAAAGAGAGGGATGCTCACGTAACGAAACACGAGAAATCATCGTGTTTGACGATTTATCTGGGAGGCGACGGCGGAGAGGAAGACGGTTGAAATGGAACACCCGGCGGAAGGAGCGCTGGAGTGAACGCGACTTGTCGCGAATTCGTTCCGCTTTATGCGCGAGTTTTACGAGGGCGCGACCGTTTCTGCCGGAATTTTACTGTTCAAACCAGCTAAGAGGGAGCAAAACGGGGAGAAACACGCCGTTAGTTATTACCATCGAACTGTCGTTCATGTGTGTGCGGATGCGGAAAATGCTGATCACCGTCGCCGCGCCGCGACGCTCGCGAATCGCTGCCAACAACGACGACGACGACGACGACGACGCGACCAACGCGCTCGCGTGGAGAGTCATGACTGCAGGTATGGAGAATGCCGGAAAGTGCATAGCGCGAATGCACAGCGTGTGCCCACGCCCACGCATGAATTTGAGACGTCGATCGAAGCCGGGATCGTTCGCCGCGACGGTCATGTTGCCGACGGGGGCAGCGCGAGCAACGTTCGCAATGCAATTCGGAAACGCGAATAAAATTTATCATATCATACATATATATATTGTGCGCGATAGAACGTAACGGTGTTTAACACGCGCGCGGCGCGTGTCGGTGAAACATGCGAAAATGCTTTGATTTTTGCAATTAGAACGTACTCGCGCGCGAATCGCGAATCGCGCGATTTTTCAACGGGTTGATCGCCTGGGGTAGAGAGAGAAAGAGAGAGAGAGAGAGAGAGAGAGAGAGAGTCCGATCGTTTCCAATTTTTCTTTATTTTTTTCACCTGGTGCGCGTTTGACGTTGGACCTTCACGCGAACGCGCGCGCGCGCGGTCGTCGCCGTTATTTTCGCAGGGCGTAATCGCGCGAAATGAAATGAAACGGACTCTTTGTCGGACCGCTTGCGAGAGCCTGGCTGGATATTTGCACTAGCGGCAAAGCAAATGTATTTTGCGTGAATGCATATCATTAAAAAAAAAAAAAGGAAACGAAAAACAGAAAAAGAGGGGAAAAGGGACGAAGAAAGCGCGAGATAGCGTTAGTTCCGTTATCCGTTTCGGCAGCGACAACAGCAGCACGCAGCAAAAGGCAGCCGATCCTTTAGTCGCTCTCGCGCGTCGCCATGACTTTTTATTTGACGTCGCTGATGAGTTCGCGATATAATGTGCGACGAAAGGGTTGATTAAATTTCACCGATGCAGTCGATTCGCACGATGCTGTTCGCTCAATTGCATTCCCGACTGCTCACGTAATGCTCACGTCAGTCGGTGATCCGTCCCGTCGTAAAAACGCTTCAACACCCCGTACGGGCGAGCGCGATTGCCGACGATACACGTGCGCGCACACGCTTCCTTTTTTTATAGCACTTAAACGTTTACGAGCGAACCGTCGAATTTTCGTGCCCGTCGAGTGCCTTGTGACGCCGCGCCGGCCCGACCAATAGAGAGACTCCCTCTCTCTCTCTCTCTCTGTCTCTCTCTTTTACCCCTTTCCCAACTTCACCCCCCTCCCCCGACGCTTACGATTTACATGATAATATACTTGGCGCCCGAGACGGGGTGAAGTCTCTCAGTCTCTCTCTCTCTCTCTCTCTCTCTCTCTCTCTCTCTCTCTCTCTCTCTCTCTCTCTCTCTCTCTCTCTCTCTCTCTCTCTCTCTCTCTCTCTCTTTCTCTTTTCCACCTATAAATATTTGAATAGCTGTATTGAGGATATATGAGTATAAGTATATATGAGAAGCTCGAGCGGATACGTCGGGCAGATTCAGA